TTAATTACCAAGTCTGAAACCGTTTTGTTGAATATACATGTACATCTCTGTTTTAACTTCTTCCATTCATTTAAGGCAACATCAGTGACAATACATGCACTCTTTCTGCTTCTAAGCGGTTTCGTGTCTTTGATTTGATTTGATTTTGTACCGAAAATCCGCGTTCACAATCAGCAGTTTATACTGGCAAAACCAAAACTATTTTCGGAAGTTTAAGCAAATTAGGAAGTAAACCACGGTGTTATGTGTACAACAGTTTCCACAAAATTGCCATATTTCGAGTTTTGTTCCCAGCTAGCCTGATATCGGCGTTCAAACGTCTTTTTCTTTTCAGACGAAGGTTCACCTTGTTCAACTTGAACTTCAGGTGACTTGGCGATCGTTTCGGCGTTGCTCACATCTTGATCATGATCACTTAATGACTTGGACCTTTTCTGCAATAAATTTAAAGCCCCATTACTTAGGAAAAAACGTAATACGCTTTTGTCGCCCTGCCACAAGTTGCCGACCCGCCATGACTTGCACGTTCGGTAGACGCGCGGCAACAACAAAGAGTTTTACTTGTATCCCTGACAATGTGACTGGGGAACACCCTCTACGCAGTGCGTCTTTCTGCCAATCAAATTTGTGTAAAAATTGCAACAATGTTTACTCTACGTTTCAATCACAGAGTATACGAAGGTGATGACCCACTGATAAACAAAATGTGCGACATGGCTCACTATTTTTAGTGCGTCAACTGTGGCCCAGGGTTTGTGAAATAACGCGTCATTGCTGTGAATTTTGTTGTTTGTTTGTTGTTTTAATATAGGTACACATGGTGAAAATATTTATTTTATTTTTTAGTAGTTCCATTTTTGAATGTGGTACTCGTATGCTTTCTGTTTGAAAAAAATGTTAATATTTTCCAGGTTATGTGTAATATTATATATTGATTACATTGTGTTGTTGTTAGAAAGCCAACAGTTTTTGTAAGAAAGTTTCTGTTGGTCCATTAGTGCATCATATGCAAGGCTGACTGGTCCATTTCTTAGTAGACTTTGGTAGTACTTAATTGCTTGGAGTTGTATTTTGACAATCAGCAGTAATCATCCAAGTTCCATCCTTGTACCAATGTCACTAGTCTTGTTATTTACATTTAGTAGGTGTCTACATATACTTCATGTAAGTGGTGTTTTTCAGTAGATGTTTTGTAAAAATAAAGCTGAACATAAGTGTTTTTCCAACTGCACTGCTGTAATCTTTGAATGAACCTAGCCTAATGCATTACAGAAATATTTCGATGTTGTGTGTTAGTTAAAGCGAAGGAGTCATCACCTCCGTATGCATCAGATGGGCATAGCCAGAGATCTGCCCACGCTGGTCGGCGCCGGTCGCTAGCGACCGGTACTTAGAATTTCCGACCAGGACAAAAAGTTGGCGACCGGCGCTATTCTATTTGTTTATGATACACACAGGATGTCGGCCACTGAACCATCACAGGGTTCTCTACAATTTGAAAATTAAACAGGGCGCGCCAATGTAAAATGGGCGTGCCAATGTAAAGTGGGCATGGCACATTTGTAACGTGCATCATTGGCATGGATGTTGAAAAAAATGGAAACCAAAAAATCTATTAATCTACATATTATTACATATGCGTAATATATATATTATTACAAAATTAGAATTTTGAAGAGTTATTATAAAGTAAACGTCAGCACGTACAATCAGCTGATTTTAGTTGCACGATTCATCACGCGGCGACATCAGTTGTTTACCAGTAATGATCGTGTCCAGAACAAGACGTAACAAGTTTGTTAATTTATTTTACCAAATGGATACATGCATGCTTTATTTAATTTTCAGCAAAAATTGTGATTTATATTTATTTGGACTAAGCAAAATAAAATTTATCATGTCACACAAACGTTTTGTAATTGGTTCATTAAAAAATTTGCATGAATGTGCGTCATCGGCACCAAAAAGCAAGATGATCAAACAAAATAAAATTTACACAATAGAAGATTTTCGATCTGCAGTTAACAGTTACTATCAAAAATAATAGAATTATGTATAAAAAAAACAAAATACATTCATAATTTTCATTCGAATCGAAAGTTTATTGATGTCTTCTTCGTTAAAAACAGCAGTGACCCGAAAACAGTTCATTTTACTGTGTGCACTCTGATATTATGTAACGATGCTTTTGATTGGCCAAAGCCATGCATTGTTGCGAAAAACAGTCAATCAGAATATTTGTTTCAAGAATGAACACAAGTAAATTTATTTTCTCCACTTATGCGAGTGGCCGTTTTACCAGGGTTTTTAAATCGTGATTTGAAAAAAATTCAACTTTAAATAGTGACATTCGTCAAAATATAAACATTTACATGTTTAAGCAAGCATTCGTGTGGACTTCTTGGTGATCAGCAATGTCTGTGATGGTACATCGGCTGCGCTGGTCGTTTACCAATCATGCAAGTGCATGGCTGCCGTTCTTCGCTTGGCGGTGACGATGTTGCCGCTACAAGTCACGGCGTGAACTTGGTTTTAACCATAGATCTTATGTTTTAACGAATGGTTTTACCGATATCGATTTTATATATTTGACGTCACCCTGGCAGTAAAAATAGGGGTACGGTAATACACTTTCTAGGCCATATGTTTATTTTTAATCGTATTGGAAAAACTTGCAACTATTTGTTTGGTTGTGTTATATCCTCACGGTGACCTGCTACGATAACAAGCCGGAATTTTCACAGTTGCACCTTAAAACAATGAACCAGTTACCCTGAGCATGATGAATCATCTTCGGAAGACAATGAGTGATGGCCTGTTTTGTAAACAATTCTTTGTCTGAAACCAGGGCGCACAGGAAATATAACAGGGCGCTGACAATTTAAACAGGGCGCCAATTTCAGATAACAGGGCGCGGCGCCCTGTTAAAACCCCTCACGGAGAACCCTGCATCATTCTATTGTACTTGTTGGTTTTAACACACAACAACACAATGCAAAAAATTAACACACAACAACACAATGCAAAAAATTAACACACAACAACACAATGCCAAAAATTAACACACAACAACACAATGCAAAAAATTAACACACACAACACAATGCAAAAAATTAACACACAACAACACATTGCAAAAAATTAACACACAACAACACAATGCAAAAAATTAACACACAACAACACAATGCAAAAAATTAACACACAACAACACAATGCAAAAAATTAACACACAACACAATGCAAAAAATTAACACACAACAACACAATGCAAAAAATTAACACACAACAACACAATGCAAAAAAATAACACACAACAACACAATGCAAAAAAATTAACACACAACAACACAATGCAAAAAATTAACACACAACAACACAATGCAAAAAAATTAACACACAACAACACAATGCAAAAAAATAACACACAACAACACAATGCAAAAAAATTAACACACAACAACACAATGCAAAAAAATTAACACACAACAACACAATGCAAAAATTTAACACGCAACACAATGCAAAAAATTAACACACAACAAAACTTTAATAAAAGAAGACACTCCTGTTCAAAATCAACGTACAAATGTGACATCGGCCTAATGTGTTTTTGTTTTAACCTTCTGCGATTGACATGCGGTTAGTTTTAACAAACGAACCAGATTGGAATAAGTCGTACATGGTCAAGTTTAGTCGTGTGTAGGATTTGTTGAGTTGAACAATAACTTGCTCACTTCACCGGCAGCGATGCACTTGCACTCGAGTGTAGGAAACTTCATTGATGTTTTTGGCTTCATGACTCGTTCATAAAATTAAATTCATAAGCTATATTCAGTCAGCGATACAAGGAATACTTATTTCTCACTATTAATGTGATTTACCAGCATTCCATTGGAAAAAGAAAACAATTAAATTCTTGTTTCCACTTTGGTCGTAACAAACGAACGACATGCTTCGACCAAAAAAATGGCTGCCAGGTCAGAGGTCAATGTCTCAAAATAACACATTTTAGATGTGATGCAAAAATAAAGTGTATATATTTTTTTCACTTTTATAAAAGCAGATTAATTTTACATTGAAATATTTAAAATAAAAGTTAAAATAATAAGTAGTTAAATCGTAGCTAGTAGAATGGAAAAATGGATATTAATTAGCTCATGAATATTAATTAGCTCATAAATATTAATTAGCAACCAGCACTCAAGTCAGGCTGGGCAGAACCCTGGCTATAGCGTGTCATTGTTTACAAATAAGCGTCTACCCATGAGCCTTTGCGTTTTTAGTATGTGTTGTTAAGGTCGTTTGGGACTCAATTCCCGCGCGTGTGCAGGGGACGACCTACTCACTTTAAATTTGAATGTTTGTTAGTTGTTTATAATCTTAATAAATAATCAACGTGTAATTTTAAATGTTTTTATAGGTTGTTTATACCACTAAAATTCAAAAAGATACAGATTCTTATTAAAAATGGTTATTCATATTATTACAGCCTTTAGTATCAGCCCCCTTGACAATTAAATTATAATCCTATATAGGAAATGCAAGTTGATTACATTTCAATGAACACAATTTAAAGATGGCCGAATGACGGCCATTTTTGTAATGAAAATCATTAAAATGAAGCATTTCTCGGCTGTTTACAGATGGATTCAAACTTGGTACATACATTGAACATTATACGTCCCTGATGCACGTCAATTTGTTTTTCAGATCAGATTCAAAATGGCCGACTTGCAGCCATTTTGTTTTAATAAATGTGGTTCTAGTGCCATATCTCTGACATGCTTTGACTGATTATGTTCAAATGTCATACAGATGTATTGGTTTGGTGATCCGATTAAAAATGGCTGATTGGTGACCATTTTTGTTCTAAAAATCATTTTAATTAATGCTGTTACATTTGTACATATCAATAACTGTTGTTGGTCTTACATGCCATTCTATGCTGAGATTGTGCAATTCTGTCTTTATCATGGAACATATTTTTGTTTTTACAGGAAGATGTCGAAAAATACATGAAAGATCCTGCCCATACAACGGCTGAAACCGTACTACAGTCTCTTGATGAGCAACACCAGAAGTACAAGTTCATGGAACTTAATTTGTTGCAAAAGAAAAAGAGGTTAGTTTATATATTTGCATTCATAGGATGAAGGATGGACATTGTATGGATAAAATTACAATTACTGTAAAGTACTTTATTTTAGCTGGAATTAATTTTTGCTGAAAAGACTTTCTGGGTGTTTTATATGGAATTCACTGATTTTTGACAAGTTGAATGTGAAATATAGGAAAAAATGTCTATTCGCTGGATTTTATTTTCACTGAATCTTTCCTTTAGTGAAAATAGCGGAAATTAATTTCAAGTGAAAATAAAGTATTTTACAGTAATGAGTTTTAGCCAACACATCAGATATAGACAACCCTTTATCATTCTACACTGAATGGTCACATACAAGTACTTTCAATCCATGATTACCATGAATGTCTGGTTTTAAAATAATTTTTTTATGTATTTGTTTGTTTTCAGGCTGATGGCTCAAATTCCAGATATTAGAAGCACTTTAGACATTGTAAAACATTTGCAAGGCAAAAAGGTAATTTAAAAGTTATTTGGTATTGATTTTGAAAATATTGAGAGATTGCTGTAGAGTATGTACATGTATGTATATGGTTCAATTATATTATACTGATAGTCATAGGGGAGCACACATATGTGCAGTGTCTGGTTGCCAAGTACCAGTTGTTATACCCAAATATTAAAGAATTGCATGTTTTACTATATGTACATATGTATACGTCTTCATTAATAAAACAACATTCATGATTTTACAAATAGCGAAAACAAGTTTAAAACAGAAAGAAAGTATTTTACAATATTTAGTACATGTATATCCCAACACTGAGGGCGCTGTCTTAGATTATGATATTTTGAATGCAATTTCTGCCATAAAGAAGCTGACGTTTTGTTGTGCATGATGCTATTCAACCGGTTTGTGTTATGTTACATGAAACTTACGTATACAGACACATTTTATTTATGTAAGCTTATATGCTCTACTAACAAAAATACAGTATTTCTTATTTTTTACCATAGACAGTATACTTATTTTGTGAGACAATTTGTGTTATGAGAATAAAAAACTGGAGGGGGGGGGGAAGTAACCATGAGGCAAATCAGTCTAGTGTCTGCTGAGAACAGTGCTCGTGTCAGTTGCACATTGAATATGCTACTAATACATGTCATTTTTCGTATCTTTTTTTCACAGACTTCTCCTAATATCATAGATACTCATTTTCTATTAGCTGAATCGGTTTATGCTAAATCCAGTGTGGAACCCACAGATAAAGTGTGTCTCTGGTTGGGGGTAAGTCATAATTATATCAACCCTGTGCCACTCATAGGAAGAATTTTAAGGGTGATTGTAATTTATATTCTCAATATAAACATAGAGTAGAAGATTCTGGAGTTAAGTCTATGGGTGCCTCCAGCTAGTAATGCAGTGAGGATGTTTTCAAAGTCTTCAGGAACATGTCAATTTTTGTTACGTTCAAGTTGTATAGAAAATATTTATCATAATCATAATTGAAGCCACGGCTTTAATTAAAATTAAATTTTGTAATGGTGACTTCAGATGCGTCAAGTCTTGGTGCGGCTTCAATTGGGCATTCACTGCGGTAACAGTGGCATTTTTTTTGAGAAAACAGGCCTGAAGAGATAATGATATGCTAATGAGATGCACAACGTTGATAGCAACATAAAAGAAACTTTGTTGCAATTCTAAGCACTCTTTTTGATTTTCACACACAGACAAACTTGAACACACAATAAATACACACAACATACTGCACAATGAAACGGTATATCTCTTTCTGAAATATGTGGTGGCTCTGAAAAGGGCCGTTTGGTTTGTGTGTGCAAGTTAGCACGCGATTAAAATCCCAGAAAATCTCCATCGTCTTTGTCGTCACTGGCAAATGTGTCGGCTATCTGCTCCCCAAGTACCTCGTCGACTTCATCGCCGGTTTCACAATCTTCATAAATGAGATGATCCTCCGACCCATCCAGTGCATTTGAGATACCAGGCTTCTTGAATGAGTTGAGAACAGTTGATGCGGGGACAGCATTCCAAGACGCCACTACCCATTCCAGCACGTTTTTTTTTCGGTGCCTTTCGTTTTCCTGCTGCAGTCAATATAACATCACCAGTCTTCATCCAGTTGTCCCACTCGTCGTGCATATCATTTTTCAAAGGCTTATTGACACCAACATCTAAGGGCTGGAAAATAGATGTCGGACCACCGGGAATTACGGCGATGTCAACATTGCGGGACTGGAGCTCTTCTTTCACCCGAGCTGTCAGATGTATGCTACACGAGTCCCATATCAGTAAACGTCGCGAATCATCGCTTCTCTTTGGGAAAACATCACAAACCCACTGCAAACAAACTGAAAGAAACAGAATGAACAATATTGTCATAGAAACGCCACCCGTAACCTTAGTATTAAAAAAACTTTGCCGATAACAGAACAGGCTGGCGAAAACAAATGATAACAGCTTCGTGCTCGAAAGTCGGACAGTTAAAAGTAAACAACAACGTCAACGGGACAAAGGTTGAAATGAAAGCACATGGCTCAGTGTTTTTTTATTGTAATCTAGTATTATTCTGTTCTAACATTCATTTTATTTTTATCGATTTTTAAAATAAAATTAAGTACAATAGTACACACGATTTTGAAAATTATCAACGGGCCTAACTTTGTACCATTGACACAAACAGTCAACACAGAAGTGAAGCCCATTTTTTCGGAGTTCGTAGTTTTTATGTTCATAGTTTTGACACCACTTTACTCAAGGGTTCTGTTGCCCGGCATGTTAAAACTTAGCGGCGTTTAGTCCATGTTGTAAAGGATATTGATGCTGTTGATGCAGTTGTATTACAAAACGATGAAACTGTGCAATTTTGTCTTCGTAAGCGGGTGGCAGCTTCTGACCTATCGATGTCCTGGTGCGAGTCGATAGCATTTGGCGTTGCTTGAAGGCACGAAGCCATTCATTTGATGCTTTAAATTCCGGATATTCACTGAAGCTACGAGCTTGCAGGAAATGAAACATTTATTTGTTGCATTTTAGTACAGGATTAGACTCGTATTTACAGTTGTCACCTAAAAGTTATTGTTTTCATTCATGTTACTACTAAGATCATTCTCACTCAATGGCAGTCTGGGTGATTGCATGGCAGGAAATGAAACACAATAGACCATCACGTACGTGGAAGTTCGGGGTGCGGCTAATATTGCAGGGTTTCCCTGTGATCAAAACTTATGAATTTTAACAAGAACAATGTCTCAAGTTGCGGCTTCTATTAGAGCGGTACAGGGTTTTAAAAGGTGTTCCAGAAGTCCTGAAAATAATGCCTTAGAGTCGTGGAGTATGCATAAAAAGCCATTACTGCTGCAAAGTGCCCTATTAAAATCACCATTAAAATTCAAATAAATGGGTTGTTTAGACTATCACTGAAAAAAAATGTTGTAAAGGTGTTGTTGACCAAAGTTGTGATGAAATAGTCTTTGACAACTGATAAAAGTCTTAAAATTGTATTTCTCTCCAGGTATATAATAATAATTCAAGCTATGCTTTTAGAAAAGAAATTGTGTTTACTTTATTTCTTTGTTACAGTCACAGACTGAAAATGTGGACTGTGCGTATCAAAATGCATAACACACATACAAAATATTACTAAATGATTTAAGAAATACAATATTTATCATAGCATCTAATCCTTAGAATTCAGTTGCCTATATTGTAAATGAATGGAAAGGTATACATTGTACAGTTGTATGTATATGATGTCGTTTTCGGAATCGTAAACTTTATTGTCTTGGTTACAATAAACTCGTAACCAATTTTGAATTTGGATACATGTATGTTGTTGATCAGTATGAACTGTTGACTATTACATCACTTATTAGTCCCCGTTCGGACAAAGTCCAAAAACGAGGACTTATAATTTGGTCTCCGTCCATCCGCATGTTCGTGCATCCATGCGTTCCTCCGGAGTCATATCTCAGAATCCCTTGGACCGATCCCGTTAATTCTTTGCATGTGCCTAGTACTTTATGTCGGACATATTCACAAGCAGTGTTTCAGCAATTTGATTCAAAATGGCCGACTGGCAGCCATCTTGTTTTTTGAAAATGTTGTATTTTGGACATGCTTTGTCTGTTTTCATTCAAACTTGGTACATAGATTATACATGTTAGGATACATGTCCATGACGAATTATTTCACAATTGGATCAAAGATGGCCGACTGGCAGCCATCTTGTTTTTGAAAATGTTGTATTTGGGACATGCTCTGTCAGTTTTCATTCAAATTTGGCACATACATGTACTTTATACATGATAGGATGCATGTCCATGACAATTTGTTTCAAAATCTGGACAAAGATGGCCGATTGACAGCCATCCGATTTTTTGGCCTTACTACTATATTTCCACAATTTATGAACCGTTTTCATTCGTATTTGGCACATATATCATACATATCAGTGTGTTTCATAATCAGATTAAAGATGGCCGAATAATGGCTGTTTTTTTTTTTGGCCATATTACTACTACACGGACACATGTTTTGATGTAAATAAACAATCTGTTGTATTCGCCACTTGGAACTCAAGTTTCAAGGACACGCTCACGACAACCCCTCCGCTTTAATATGACGAGCACAAAGAGAACTTTCAAAAATTTAACAAGGACTGTTTCATTTTCAATGACTTGTTATAAAGGTGAAAAGTGGCTTAAAACATGTGCACCTTGCATTACCTGGTCTCAATCTCTTAAATAACAAGTCTATATTTTGCCAACATGCAAAACAGGTAATTTTAATTTCAATTTTATGTGTTCTTTAGTTCACAATTATTGTATCAGAACTTGAACTTCATCCATTAATATTTTTTAGTAAAATTGCAACATTTAATCAAAAGATCTCCTAAAACAGTTTTACCAGACATTATTCATTGGTTTCCAAGTTTATCTCATGATTTCCCATGATAATATTGAGAGAGTACCATATAATGCTTTCAAAGAATACCGATGAATGGTACGATTCTAAATTTATGCATTCTGACTTGGAAAAGTCCGATGTTGTGAATACTTGTTCATCATAATGTTGTATGAAGGTGATCGTCACAGGCAGTTTATGCCTAATTGTTGATTTTAGTTTTGAGATGCTGTTGCAGGAAAAATGTTATTATCGAATTATTTTTGTTTTGATTACTTGCGGACTTCACAAATTTAACCAAAAAATGTACTTGTTGTAGAATAAAATAATGATGAACCAGTTATCTCTATTGACAAACATATTTTTCCCGCCATGGTTATATCAGAAGTATCCTATCTTGAACAGCTGGCATTAAAATTGATTTTTTTGCTGTTTTTTTAGAGCTATTCACTTAATTAAATACAATGGAGTAAATTATATAAAATATATCAGACTATCTGCTCTTTATTACCGTATTTATCCGGCTAAGATCCCATGCCCACCCCCTCTTTTGATACAATAAAGAAATTGAGGTCATGTCCGTGCATACACCCAGGAGGTCTTTTTCTACACATCTAAAGATGACACAGCCCCCACTTGTCAGATGTGATTATAGTTGGCTATGAATTATAAAGTTTGAATGTATATGTATAAAATCGGGTAGGAAGATTAAGTTGAAAATCAAAAGTATGTTACTCAAAGTTAACAGCTAGGACATCTCTATTAAATTTAGTAAAATTTGCATAAATTTTATCAAAAATTCACAATCAATTGAATATGTGTTGCTAAGATGTGAACCACTGTATTGTGTATTTCTGCACTAGCTACTGTTGAACACCGGTCAAGAGGCAGTGAAAACAACACAAACTCAACTTGAAGTAATCCGGAATGACCAAATTTATATATGTTACACATATAGGGGTAATCTTGTTACACTGTTCAGTTCGAGTCTCAACTATGACAGAGTACAGTTTTCTGAGAATTTAAGGTCTTTGTTTTCACCATGATGGTTGCTTTGAGATGAAAATGCCTGGATGTCTGACCCCAAGAATTGGACAAGTACAGTATTTGTCTATTGTGAACTAATACCTGAGTGATGTGTACACATTTATCCTGATTCAATAAACCTCACTTGCACATATCAAATTAGTGTGCAAATGTACAATAAGTGATTTACAAGATACCTTACTCTCTTAGAGTGATTTTCAAATACACATAATAGAAACTTTAATTCTCATGTTATGTTGAATTTGTCGGATTTTGAAGCGTTTTTGGTACCAGTGCTTTCACAAACTGGAATGGCAGTTTTATTACATTGAAAACCC